GTGTGTGTGTGTACATTTTTTAAATATTTTCTAAAATGCGTTTGAAAAATCAAAACAATATTTAAATTTATATGGAAATAATTTAAAAAATATATATGATTGTGTGTACATATTTATTTATATAACTAAATTTTTTATAATAAATAAATTATATTTTAATAAACGAATGAATAAAAGCAGGATATTGCTTGACAATGTTCAATGCATTCCAATAATAAAACTGGATTAAAAACCAAGAATCGATAATTGTAGGCGTTAACGATTATGTAATCGATATTGGTATTGTGTACAATAAAAACGAGATAAATAAAAGATTTTATCGTTTTTTCATATCTCCGCTTTGCTTGTGCGCTTGTAACTGCATGATATTATTTACGCGATAAAATTGCTTTTGAAATTATTGAAAAATTGTAATCATCTAATTGATTTGTTTGCTTATAATACAAACGAATCAATTTTTCGGTTTATAATATTGTTCAAAAATTTGTTAGAAATTGAAAAGAAAACTGAATAACTATATGTACTGACTTTGCAGCATTTCTCGCAGATTCTCCACGGCTTCCTCTATCGTAATGCTGGAATAGTCCCCTTTTTCTTTTAAGAGAATTTCTACACCTCCATTCCAAGTGCATCTGGTGTGCCATGCAACCTTCTCCGTGTATCCTTCTAAAGCTTCGTCCGCCACGGTTTGTACTGTGGTTAAGGAAATCTGCTGCGATATTGACACGCGTCCGCCACAGTACGGGCAACAGTGACCTTCTACCTAAAACACAAAATAAATTACACTACTCAAGTAATAATGGAAATATATAATAAATCAATTAAAATTTTAACATCAGAAATATCGAGCGATTACCTCTTTAGCAAAAAAAGTTACAGTTGTATCACAATAAAGTCTGTATACTAATGAGTATTTTTCGTTACTTTCTTTATATTTTCATATACATATATATAATTTTCATATATATTATGTCATATTAATTACATTCTTGAGGCTTCCACGGGTGCTTTCTGCGTATAAAGGTTATGCGTTTCGCGGGTTTCCTCCGTGTCCAGATTCATTCTTGAGATGCCGCATTGCAGATGGCATCTCAAGAATGGATCTGGACACGGAGGAAACCCGCGAAACACATAATCTTTATGTCATATTAATTATTTTCATGTATGCAATAATTTATTTGCTTTTAGTGCAGTATAAAAACATTGGTATTTCTAGTGTTAAAGAGTTTCACCGTAAGAGGATATTCGCAGCCCATAAACCCACACCTTGGCCTTTGAATGGCACAGATCTCCTCAAGATAATCATCCTGAGTGTTTCCCTGGCAGAAAACTTTCTTACAGTCGAGCGTACTTACAGGTCGCCATACCAAGTCACTGTACCTAAAAACATATTTTTTTTCATAAAATGATTTACCATATGGAATTGCATTTACGAGAGCGCAGCAAACGTTATGTTCGAGCTTACTTTACGGTGAACCTTCCTCTGGAAAATTCTCTACGATCTTGGAAGTTTTGCCATTCCCATTCGGTAAACGGCTGTCTCTCGTTTGATAGCCGAATTGACTTCACTCCTACCTCTCTTACAGGTAGGAGGATACTCAAAGTACGATTCTCACTCGGCAAGACAATGTTGTCATAGCTGCAGGGAACGCGCTCGAGATGCGGCGCCGCTATTGAACTACCGTTCCAATTTGAGGGATCAGCCCAAAAGATACTACCCTCCTTTGACCATCTACTAACTTTTGCGTCCGTCCGCGAATTGCTTAGCTTACACACACGTACAGAGTTTTCATTATTAAATTAAATCTATTATTTATAAAATATTAAAAATAAGTTAATAAAATATTAATTCAAGTTTATTATTAAATTATAAATATATTCTAAAAAAAAAATGAAAGCTCGATTCTTGCAATACAAAAAGTTAAAAATAAACGGGCCAATTTACCAACAAAAAAATTGTATGTAAATATAAATATAATTCATTCATTCGCGAAGGAGAGAAAGAATTTCATCTGTGATGTAGCATATATTTAACAATTAACAATTAAAAATTATAAGAGATGAAATAAAATACAGTATAAAAGTGTATTTACCTTAGAATTTATCTGGTTCAATTAATTATTATTTAAGAGTTTGATATTGCGTTACGGTATTACTATTACATTAAAATTTTAGTATTATTAAAGTATATACAAAAAAAAAGAATACAAAAAATTATAAAACTTCAAATAATTAATAAAGGTAATACAGTTTCGAGTTTGCAGAATTTCAATATTTTATGATGTTTATTGCTAATAAATATTCTGATAAGCTAAATTTTTTGAATAATTAGTTAAACAGCTAACAACATGTCAACATTAAAACTTTAATATCGTAATTATCGTAAGTGTATTATCGAAACAGTTACGATACACACTTTGTAAATTAGTAATACTTTCTTCCTTCCGCGAATACGTTAAACTCAAAAAGAAAAAAGGACGGTCAAATGTACAGCCTTGTATATTTTCTCAAGTCTATAACTTGACCTTACCTGCAATTTACCATCTCTAGGCAGTACCAATGATCCCTGCCACGGCAAATCAATTCCAGATAGCCTAAGATTGTTCATTCCGGAGATGCCAACCGCGTGTCGAGTCTGCTGAGGAAAGATCACATGACTGTCGATCTCTGGAACACGATTGTTCGCCCAATTGCTCGCAGTTCGCCACTCTAGATCCGGAAGCCAGTATTTTTGACCGAAAAACAAGGCCGAACATCTTGATATCAAGATAACGCACAATACGATTTTGCGATGAAGCGCGGTAAGGACAAGCATGTTACATGAACGTTTTAAACAGTCAGTCGATTGAAAGGAGATACCACGAATGTGCTACTCTTAAATTAATTTTCACTTACACGAAAATAGAGAGATATCAAATAGTACAATGAATTTAAATACTCGCTATTAATGATTTGCAACAAATTCCGAAAATAACGCGAGAAGAAGTTGAACACGGTTGGAAATTTCAATAACTGAAAGCTACTCCGCTATGATCAAAGTCAATTGGGGGCGTGTCTGATTCATGATAGTCTGGCGTGGACTTGTGGTAATTGTCACGATTAAATCGCCATGAATCTAGTGATTCGTTGAAATTAAAGTCTTTAACTATATAATGGTCAATTATTAATTTATATTTTTAAAAAATATGTAATTAATAATGATATTTGTTATACATTGCATACTTGGTCACTTACAATTTAAATGACCAAGAAGTATGCAATGTATAAATATCGTTATTAATTAAAAAACCATTGTACCATAAATATGTTTATTTACAAATACATAAGCCAAAATTTAAACTGCTGCACAGAAATTAAAATATTATTTTTAAAATAAATTTTAAATATTTTTGATCAGTATTAACAAATATTTATTCTAAGCACAAAACACATGGGAAGTTAAATTTTCCCAAATGGTTAAATATATTAATATATTTGCATTCATTTATTTGCATATGATTATAACGGTATGCTTGATAGAATAAATTTTTGTTATTACATCACACGTGAAAACAATAATAGGATTTATTGCTAATAAAATTCTCATTTAATTGACAATTAAAATGATGTTAAAAGTATTCACATATGTCACATATATATGACGGAAAAAATTACAAGATTTATTATGACATTGAGGACATTGGTACAATTGCAAGTTTTACTTTTTTCTATAACAATTAGAAATATAATCGTTGAACAACAAAGATAAGTATAATACTGCCGCGATTAAGATGGCTTATAACTTTTTAGAACATTGAAATATTATTTCTATCTATCGTACAGTAAATTGCATTTAATTATTTTAATTGTTGACTAAATTACAATGTAATTCATTATAATACAAAAATACAATTAACTTAATAATTCGCTTTAATCAATAGTAGTATAATTCTATGATTGTACAATGTTAACAAATTATTTGTAAAAAAACTTTATTTTAAATCAACAGAAGCGTTAAAAATATCGAGATACGTAAATAACATACAAACAGACTTATATGTTGACAGAAATGATGTTTCTTCTCTTCATTTGAGTTCGGTTCCTCTTTTACTGAACAAATATTTGAATTATTAATTAAAAAGTATTACAGAAATATAAGAAAATGAAGAAATTGAACAGCTTATTTGCTTAAAAGAAACATTCAGAGAATCTTTCTACGTCAAATGTATTTTCTCATTAAGGTACCTGCGTAATTTTTTTTGTTTTAAACATTTACAAGTGAAGAAGGAGTTGTCGATGGCGCACGAATTTTATAACAGCTTTTAGAAAAAAAGAAATCTTGACATTTTATTGTCAATCTTAACTTCCATGGACAATTCATTCTGCTCTTGACACTCGATAAATCGTACAACGTGGTATTGACATATGAGACAAGAAACGTGTTATCTACAACTTTTCGATAAGTATAAAGCACCCTCAATTTATTGCATTTTCTTAGAAAAAGTGGTAATAAAATCCAAGGGAGAATTAACAAAAGGTTAAAATTGTTATAAAAATAAATATTATTTTTATACAATTGCTTTTGAACTTATTTTTTGTTAGATACAGAATGTTTACCTCAATTTGTGAAAGTGCTTTATATCTTACGCGGTGATATGTGATTTTAATGAATTTAACTCGATAAGCTCGAGTTTATTATTTATTAAAAAATAGAAACACTCATTATTTAATTTATTGTTTATCAGTAAATCTTATCAGTTAGAGTATGTTAATTAATTATTATAATTTGTACAACATATAGAGTGTCAACACGTTAATTTTACAATTGTAATTTGTTTATTAAAATTCGATCCGATACATCTAAAATTCGAAACGTTAAAAAATTAATAAATCATACAGTTTTTTCAATTATCTATCTGCTATTGCATTTTATGAAAATATTTTCAAAAACAAATAAACCAGATATTTCTTTCAAAATTATTTAGGAATTAAAGCGAATGAGGAAGATAATAATTCGTGCTCCTCGACGAGAACGCTTTACTGATTCAAATTCTCGTCCTCATCTAGTTCTTTAGCCAAAGTACTGAACCAGTATTTCGGGACTATAGCATCGTTTAGTCTTCTTCCGGATACAGCCGTTTCTCCAGTCGCCAATTTCCAAACTCGTTTTCCGATTCCAAAGCCGAATTGATGGTTACCACGTTTGTCTTCTATAAAATCATTCGAATTGTCCTCGTGGGATTGATATCCCCCCATGTTATCAACCAGGAAATAGTCCAAACTCAAGGGATGATATTCATTGTTGCGCTTTCCTATACCGAAATCGTAGTTTCGGAGACGCTTGCCAATACCGAACGAGAATTGCCGGGTTCGCTATGTATAAAGTTTCAACACGTAAAGATACAATTATGAAATATTATCACAGAGAGAAAAATAAAAACACCCATTATTTAGTTTCTTATTTAAATTAGTTAGTATATGTTAATTAATTATTGCAACTTGTACAACAAAGTATTGATATGTTAATTTATGTTATTAAAGTCCGAGTCAATATGTTTAAAATTCAAAACGTGAAAAATTACATTGAAAAAACATTAATTTTGACCTTAATTAAAATATATCGAATTTTATATATATGTTACTTTTCTTATAATACTTTTGATAGTATTGTATCGTATAAGTACAAGTAACATAATAAAAGTTCATGTTTGTTAATTACAAAAATTTCATAATAAATTTTTGTAATTGCACTATTTATTCGGATATTTGCTGGACTTATGACATTTCTGTAATTAAATTTTTTGTTCAGAAAAATTCATTCATTTTTAAATAAAAAAGAGGACATTTCATTTCATTTAGAACTCACTTTATCTACATTATTGTCAATCCATCGCTTTCCAATGCCGAAGGTATAAAGGGGTAGTCTCTTGTATTCGGCAATGTATGCCTTTTTCATAGGTAGTTCATTATATTCCATGTTGTTTAATAACGGATGCAATCGTTGAATGTGTAAAGACGAGGAAGATGCTTCTTCTATTGCCACTGCTGATCGTCCAACAACGCTCAACAGATAGAACATAATAATTCGCATAGTAATTAAACTTGTTGTTGTCTTCATGATGCCTGGTTGAATCTGAAAGCATAAAGGTCATGTGAAATTGTAATCTACGTATAACGAACTATTGGATACAGGGACAGAATTTCATCCTACTATATAATAATGTTATATAAACTTTCACGTAGTTCTAGATTGAGTTTTTAAATTTACTTTTGTCAAAATTGCTAAGATAAATTAGCTTAACTTCTGCTCACTTATACATTTAAACCGCTGCAATTCTACAATAATATAATATAATCTTAAAAATTGTTGAAGTGCGCTACATTTATTTTTAAGTATAACGTTATAATGCAGAGATGGCAAATAACACGTTACTTATACCGTTATTATTATCGTAATTACTTTTTTAAAATAACGATTTGGTAATAACGTTATAATTTTTTACGACGATAACAATAACGTCTGAATTTGAACAGCCATTTTTTAAAGTAGGTAATTCGTTAACATTACTCGTTTTTCATTTTAAAAAAGTAACTCGTTACTTTACTTGTTACGCAACGAATAAAAATAACGTCGTTACTAATATATTACTTTTTTATTCGTATCCAACGAGTGAAATAACGAGTCACTTTTTTCAATAAAAAGCACATAATAGTAACAAGTTACTTTCAGAAGTGACTGTTCGAACCCTGTCGTTATTATTGCTATTATAAAAAGATTATAATGTTATTACCAAATCGTTATTATAAAAAAAGTAACAGTAACTATAACAACATAACAAATAACACTTTACTTGTCATCCCTGCTGTATTCACTTTATTTTTATCGATAAATGCACGTATTTTTATCGATAATGCACGTATTTATTTCTAAGATTCTATAGTATATGCAACGTAAATTATGCGTGCATTTATCGATGAAAGTGAGGTATAAATATGACCTATATGTATATATAATAACATAATGTATAATTAAACTAAACAATTCAAAGCGATCATAAAATAACAGTATTTTTTATAATAATGCGATAAACATCTGGTTTATAATTATAAGAAGTACTCCTACAATATTTTTAGGAATCTTAACATCTATCTCGGAATTTATCACTGAATATAAAAGTCCGTTAATGTAATACTGCGGAAGATTTTATAGATCCTTCAAAGCGCAGATGCACGCAAATGGAATTCTACCATGTAAAAATAAAATGAAGAGTTATTTACGACTGGCGTGGGATAAATGTCATTGCAGTAGCTTCTATTCGTAGATGTGTCCCGCCAATTTTACGACATAGATTCCAACAGTCCTAGAGTGTACTCTATTTTTTTGCAAACATATTTACACTGCCATTGGTCTAGATCCTACATTAAATTTAGAGAAGAAAACCATAGATACTTTTATTTTTTAATTCCTTTTTGCGATGACATTTTATCGCAATGCATAAAATAAAATTGTGATCTATAGTGAAAATTTTTCTCAGGATTTTTCATATAATCTTTTAAAATGTTTTTTGTAAATTTCAGAGTTTTTATCATTTTTGAATAATTTTATAACTTTTTTTTTTTTAGAAAATTTTTCAAATTTGTTACACAAAGTGGAATACTTTTCAAAAGTATTACTTTTCAGAACCAATACCAAAAAAATCTATATCCTTTTATGATGTAATACATATTCATATATAAATTCTAGGAATTTATACATGAATATGTATTACATAAGTAAATTTTAATAAAATATTTAAAAATTTCTTACTTTGTAATTCCTGATGAAATTTTTTTTAATTTGAAAAATTTAATGTTTTCTTTTCAGAAATTATAAAATGAGAAATTTTATAATATTTTCAAAATTTACATATAAGAAAAATTCGAACAAACGATATAGACTTTCTTGTTATAATTTTGAAAAATGTTCCAATTTGTACAAAAATTTTGGGAAAACGGATTTATTAAAACATTTTACTAAAATATAAAAAACTTGTATTAATTTTGTATTAGTAACAGAACTAAATATTGCGTTATCAGTAAAAATATGCGTTTTCATCAATTTAAAAGTAAAATCAATGCTGCATTATGAGTGTACGACGCCAATATATATATGACCAATACAGTAAATATTTAACAGCTATAATGGAGTCAAAAAAGAGTGTACGGTCTGGTGTGACTGAATGTCGCGACATCGTTACGCCAAAGCCGAAATCCTCTACGGACTCGATTCGTCCAATATTTGATAGTGAAATCCGACGGATTACGAATCCTTCTTTATCCCACTTGGTCACGCTTACTTTTCGCAGACGCGAGAGATTTGAAAGGATCAAGAGGGCGAGGCCAAATGGAGGCAGAAAAAATTATGAGGGTCCATAGAAAGTTCTTAGATGTTGAGTAAGTAACGTAAATCATTTCTGTTACGACGCATTTAGACGCAACATTTATTGATATACCTTTTCGATCCCCGAGATAAAATGTGAAATATTTCATTGTTTATACCAAAACGTATATGAAATACCAAACGTATATGTTAAATTTGTATATGCATGATTAAATGATCTTAATTAAGCAGATAAAAATTGCAGAACCCACGCACAGTCTGCAATGTTTAATTCTGGTTGACCGTAGAATCGAATTAAAGTACATAAAATTAAAATAGCGATTCCATTAGGGAAAAAATGATGTCCGTTTTTTCCCTAATGGAAAAGAAGGGTAATAAATGTTTCCGCGCAACTCGACTCATCTCGCCTACGATGTTGCTAACTTCTAATTAATAAATGAACGAAAGTTAGTGAAGATTTTATATCCATTTCGTAGTTGCCGTACGTATATTAAATGCATAAGTTCGTTCGGTTTTGCCGATAGACGGTGTTTAAATATTTAAGTATATGATTATATAGTGTCACTTGTTCCAATTAATTAATCATTATTACATTATTATTTACTATATTTTTAGGCCGAAAAGTCGGCCTATTTTATTCGTCAACCTTTAAATATTGGTTAAAATGACATGAGAGATCCTCATAATAGATTACAAAAATTCAGCTCGACAATTAAATTTTCTATATGTTCTATCTCGTTTTCATAAATCTTTCTGACTCACGATTTTTTCCATCAATTTGTGTAGGCAGAGTTCATATCGTGACATGACGTCTCTTTAAAAATTCTGATGAGGTGACATCTGCACAATAGACTAGCTTCAAATTCACATACGGGCTGATTTGCAACGAGATCATTGAATATTGTCAGCTCAATCGTATGAATGCGACGAACTCTTCGAAATATTGGATTTTTCATGGTCTATTGAGAACACTGTCGCTAAACTGACATCAATCATTAACGATTCGCTCAAAAAGTCGTAAGTATTTCGATTACACTTTGTATTTTAAACGAACAAATGGAACAGTGTCTCAGAAAAGTCCTTTGTCGTTATTCTTGTCCTCCTAAATTTTCTCTTAATTTCCTTACATAGAAAAGATGATTTTGCTGAAATATCGAAAAATTTAAATAGATACACACAAATCTGAAAATATTATTTTAAATCATCAAAATAATTATGTAGGACTTATTGCTAAAGTGACAAAACTTTTTACAGCATTGCTTGTCATGAAATTTCTATGTAATTATTTTGAGATAGCCCAAAAAAGTTGTTTTTAGATCTGCTAAATTTTTAGATACTTCAACAATTGTTCTTTTTGAATATACCTTTGAAATGCAATAATCTTGACAATCTTGATCAATATTTATGAAATGCTCCTCACCGAGCTAGCTTTCAATAAAGCTCGAGATTACACTGCGTTCTACATCAAACTTTATTTACATTGTAATACACATTCATGGGTTCTCGTCGAATTTTTGTTATCGATACGTGTTGAAAACTTTTATATTTTTTATCGCAATGCTTGCAACAGAGTATCAGTAACAAAAGGTAAAATAATAATAATAATAATAATGCTTCTCGAAGAATGGGAGTGCAGTAAAATCCTTTCTTATAATCTACTATATTGTATACTCTTTTTTCGTTCGCTTTGTTATTCTAGATATTTATGTTTCCGAGAGATTTTCCTTTAATTATTTTTAAATAAATTTTGTAAATATAAACAATATTAATATTAATTAATTTATTTGGGCTACGTTTCAAAACTTCCTCTCCAAGGAAAATTTTACTCGAAATATATAATACACGTAACGTATACTATAGCATATAGAGATAAAATCTTCCTCGGAGAGGAAGTTTTGAAACGTAGCCTTGGTCGTGTTGAAAATAGTAAGTTCAAATATATATTCTTTTTTTATTCTTTTTCAAACGTTTGATTTAATTACATACCTCTCTATGACGATATATACATTTTATGTTTTTTTACAATGGATAGCCCTTATAAGCGTGTTAAAAACAGCAGTGTGTCAAAAATTGCGTTAAAAGACCTATGCAGCGTATAAAACAAATATTGAAACTCGGAATATTTTTGCTAGCGTGTAAACGACATTTTATTTTTGTATAGACTATCGAGGACAAAGAAGCTCACAGTTATTTAAAACAATCTAGTAAAGAAACTAATGCATATAATCTCACAATTTTCTCCAATTTTGTTTCTTCGGTTTTTTTTTTAAATTATCAATATTTATTAAATCAGGAAATAAAATCGTGTTCAAAGATAATTCATCTTTTTTAAACAATATACCGCTTCTTACTCTTTATTTTACTTGTTCAATTGCATCTTAATATTTTAATAATGGATCAAATGTTTACGAAAAAGAATTTATAAGTGTTCCCATTACGTTACAAAGATGCTTTCATATATTTAAAAATGCGATATAAATTATGTAACTATCTTATAAATATGCAGGACGTGTTCGTTAAAATGTAAATTTTGTAACGAGTTAAATATTATGCCATTCTCTATCTTTTAACTTAAAAGATGTCGTTGATTAAATTTAATGTAATACTCAAATCTGAAGCAAAACTTTCTTTGTTCTGTTATTTATTTTTATTTGTTTTATTTCAAATAGAAATCAACTCGTCTGAATTACCTTTCATTACTTTCCATTTAAATTACAAGAATGATATCTATTCAAGAAGTCAGCTAAATTCTT